GTGTAATTAAAACATCCCCATTTGGGCTGATGATGATCCTCACAAGAGCAATAGATTTTCTAACAAAACCACCCACACAAGGCATGAGAAGCCTGTTTTTTTTTTAATTTATTATAATTTATTTTGCAATACAATTCAGTTCTACATATCAGCCACGGATTCCCTTGTTCTCCCCCCTCCCGTCCCCCTCACCTTCCCCCCAACACCCCCCCCCATTCCCATCTCCTCCAGGGCAAAGCCTTCCCCACAGACTGAGGTCAACCTGGTAGACTCAGTCCAGGTAGGTCTAGTTCCCGCCTCCCAGGCCTAGCCAAACAATCCTGCATAGGCCCCAGGTTTCAAACAGCCAACTCATGCAATGAGCACAAGATCTGGTCCCACTGCCTGGATGCCTCCCAAACAGATCAAGCCAATCAACTGTCTCACCCATTCAGAGGGCCTGATCCAGTGGGGACCCCTCAGCCATTGGTTCATAGTTCATGTATTTCCATGTCCCTGTGCTTTATCCAACCTTGGTCTCAACAATTCTCGCTCATATAAACCCTCCTCATTCTCGCTAATTGGACTCCCAGAGATCCACCCGGGGCCTAGTCATGGATCTCTGCATCCAGATCCCTCAGTAGTTGGATGAGGTGAGAAGCCTGTTTTGAAGTTGTTTGTCACAGCTGTCCAAGAGCCACGCAAAACACAGGCTACTGCTATTGTCCATGCTTGCTTCCCAGAGGTAGAAGGTGAATTCCTATTGTTGAAGAAGCCTACACTTTACTCGTAGAACCCAGAGGATGCAAGATGGATATGACCTTAAAGCCTCCTCCTTGGGGACCAGTTTTCATGGTACCAGAAGGCAACATTCAAGCTTCCAAGGAGGGAGCCAACCAACAGTCCTACCCAGCTATGACACCTTATGAACCACAACAATGATCTGCACAGCATGATAGCCCTAAGGGTGCAAGAGTGGCACACAGACCTTGGTGGTAACCACAGCTTCTAATTGGATTAAGACACTGTCAACAAGAGGGAAATTATGCCTGGTATTGGAAACTTAGCCTGTTTCCCAAGGGTTAATGAAGTCGAGGATCCTGGAGAGGAACCTACAATCATTACTTTACTAAATCAGCATAATCCCTAACTGCAATCTAAATATTTATCCTTATTCCCACAGAAAAATGTAGTTCTCACCCCTCATCAATAAAAATAATTTATGCAATACATGGACATTGTTACAGAAAACAACAATCAGTCAGAATGTAGAGTTGTAGCCGGGCGTGGTGGCGCACGCCTTTAATCCCAGCACTCGGGAGGCAGAGCCAGGCGGATCTCTGTGAGTTCGAGGCCAGCCTGGGCTACCAAGTGAGTCCCAGGAAAGGCGCAAAGCTGCACAGAGAAACCCTGTCTCGAAAAACCAAAAAAAAAAAAAAAAAAAGAATGTAGAGTTGTGATGCTCAGTCCCCACTGACACATAAGCAACACAACTCCTTTACCTCAGGCTCAGGGATTACTGGGAAAGGGGCAGAAATACTGCAAAAGCCAGAGGAACCAGACATTTACTGTGAGATTGCGTTCCCTAGAAATGTCAGAGAAGCTACATGCATGAAATCATACAAACATGCTGATTAAACATGAACGGAACAAGAACACCACCAAGACACTTGCTAATATGGAAGGAGGAAAGCTTACTAGGCCTCAACCCTAGTCAAACACTAAGGAATTCTGAGAGCTGGAAAAACTCCCCAGAGAAAAAGGCACCATATGGTTATCCAATACCAAATGTCCATCCCTGAAAACATAAAGACTGATTAGTTTGTATTTTTATGTTTAGCATACACACAAACATACAAAAACAATGGAATAGTTATTAATAAATAATAAATGTAGATGAAATTCTAAACGGTCTTATTAAATAAGAAACACAGAGCCAAATACAGAGTTAAAAGCCCAAGAGATCAGAGCACTAGCGAAGCCTTTAGCTTACCAGTCGCTGCCGTCCTTCCCTAGAGGGACCTTCTCCTGTGTGACCCGTCTTTTTATTGCCTTTCTGTTCTGCCTTCTCATTGGCTCTAAACCCAACCACATGATTTCCTCACCACTGCCTGTCTATACAGACCTCCAGGTCTCTATGATTCATACTAGGATTAAAGGTTAGGGTCACCGCTTGGCTGTGTACTTGACTATGCAGAGACTGTGCCTGCCATGTGATCAGATTAAGGGCGTGTGCCACCACTGCTGGACTTCTGCTAAATGGCTTGCTTTTAGCTCTGATCCCCAGACAACTTTATTTATTAACATACAAATAAAATCACATTTCAGCACAAATAAAATATCACCATATTTCCCCCTTCTAATAAAAAGAAAAAAGGAAAAAAGTTATAACTAATATAAGAAAAACTATATACAATAAGTACAATAGCTATATATAATATATATAAGCAATAAATACCTAAACAATGTCTAGTCCATTTGCATTTGACAAACTCAGAGAAAATATTCCATTATCTATCCTATTTTGGTAAGTCTAAAATGTACCTGATTCACTTTCTATCCTAACTTATATTACTAACAGAGAACTCTTATAATGTCTTTCAAATTTATATACTTACACCTCTTTAGTGAGTTTCTTTTCTGAAATTCTTAACAAGGAAAACTGTAACTATCTAATCTTTAACTATAACTATATCTAATCTTCAACTCCCTCAGAGACCCAAGAAGGAAATAATATTACTAAAAAAACAGGAAGTGCATGAAAGGGGCTTCCAAAAAATTTTGAGTTGACAGAAACAGACAGCTGCCTGGACAGTCACCCGAGATTTCTCCGCAACGTTGGGGCATCATCTTCAGGCTATAGGCTTAGCATATCTGACAGATTTATTTGTGAAGTAGGATGTACACAAGGCCTACAGTTCGACCTCACATTTGGTGAGAGTAGTCCATGTACCAGAAACACCTGAATTCCACTAGTGTCCTGTCATGATTCAGGGTTTTAAATTCTGGAAATTGTTGATGTTTTTTGAATTAAGCTGTCCATTCTTCTTGGCTTGTGGGTGGCTTCATCTCAGCATCCTGTTCTTGTCTGCATCCCATTCTTCTTGGCTTGTGGGTGGCTTCATCTCTTTTATTAAATGCTAGTCTACCATTGAGAGGTTAGACTCCGTGAGCTTAGTTAACTCTTTCAAGAATAACTGTTTCAGCTGCTGTTCCACTGTACATCAGAAGCCACTGGTCCACTGTCAGTTCAGCTGTCTTCGAAGAAAGGGGCACTGTACCTTTTCTGGATTGCAGAGGCCACTTCAGGGATGGTGCCATATAGTCCTGGCCTTAGAAGATACCTGTTGTTAAAGCCACAACCACACTTGTCTTGGCAAGAATCGATAGTCCTTTGTTTCGTGTCCTGTCCGTCCATTTTGTCCTGTTTGTCAGCAGTCGATTCGAGGATACTTTGTTGTCCAGTGGCTAACTTTTGCCACATTGAAAGTCAATTCATATGCAGTGACAGAAAATCAAGGCAAAAGCTTAAGACAAGGAATGGATACCTGTCACCAACCCTGACTGCCTGGTTAAGGACATGAAGATCAAGTCCCTGGAGGAGATCTACCTGTTCTCCCTGCCCATTAAAGAATCTGAGATTATTGACTTTTTCCGGGGGACATCCCTAAATGATAAGGTTCTAAAGGTCATGCCAGTGCAGAAGCACATTCAGGCTAGGTAGAGGACCAGGTTCAAGGCTTTTGTCATTATTGGGGACTACATTGGTCATGTGGATCCTGGTGTTAAATGCTCCATGGAGGTAGCCACTGCCATCTGAGGGGACATCATCTTGGCCAAGTTTTCCATTGTCCCTGTATGGCTAGGCTACTGGGGGAACAAGATTGGCAAGCTCCATACTGTTCCATAAAAAAGTGACAGGCAGCTGTGGCTCTGTGTTGGTGCTTCTCATCCCTGCCCCCAGAGGCACAAGAACTGTCTCTGCTCCTGGGCCCAAGAAGCTTCTGATGATGGCTAGTATTGATGAATGCTGCACATGAGCCAGGGTTTTCACTGCTACCCTGGGCAACGTTGCCGAGGTCACCTTTGACACCATCTCCAAGACCTATATATCTACCTGACCCTTACCATTAGAAAGAGACTGTTTCCATCAAATCTCCTTATCAAGAATTCACTGACCATCTTATGAAAACCCAGACCAGTCTCTGTTCAGAAGAACCAGGCTCCAGTTGTGACCACCATATAAGGATTTTAATATAAGAAAAATAAAGTGAATTAAGTCTGTTAATACACACACACACACACACACACACACACACACACACACACACACACACACACAAAGCACTAAGCACTATTAGCAAATGATAAATTAGTCCATTAGATAGAAAGTTGTGATCAACATGGGTGCATGTTACAAAACCCAGAATGCAGACATCTACAGCAGACAGAAAACAGAAATATACGTAAAACATGTGAAAACTGTCACATTGCTTCATTTTCTTTGCAAACATAAGAAGACAATCAAGAAGGAGTCTGTCTTCTTTAAGACTCCAAGCAATTCCTATCACTATTCTAATGCATGTTTTACAGAAAAGAATCCTAAAAATACCAAAGACCAGCAAAGAGCTGGAAAATACTAAGAGGATTAGCCTAGAGGTGATCTCACAGTATATTACAATTACAGCAATGGAAACCACTTGGAATTGTCATGACCACAGACAATGGCAGATATCCATGGGAAGACAGTATAGACGGAGTTTAAGAGGCTGTAATATATAGTTCCTGATTCTTATCAAAACTCTGTTGGCATTACTTTCAGGAATGGAGACATTAACACTAAAAGGTAGAAAATGTGCTAGTATACCAAAGCTCCATAATTCTGGTAACAATATATAAACGTAGAGGTATTAATTTTCATCATTTTATAATACATTAAAATCATAGACATGAAAACCAATTAATATGGAATAAAGACATGATCAGTGATGTGAATGAATAAGGACAGCATCACTCACATGCATAGTCGAATAAAATTTTATTTGACTCCATTATCAATTATTCTGTAGAAAATCTTCTCATGCCTACATGAGGATAATCTTGAGGAATTTTTTCTCAGTAGGAGTCTCCAGAATTATTTCTAGTGAAACAGACTGTGGCAAAACTGATTTCATGTCCCACTTGTATATTCACTTGATCCCTTGCCACCCTTCACTAATCTCTACACCATATCTGGATCCTTAGCCACTGTCTCCTCCTTCTCCATCTCCCAGGCCTCTTTGGTCTGCTCCACTGGTAACCAGGGCGGGCTGATCAGTGAGCCCTGCATATAAGAAAGAGATACTTCAGAAAACACCTAGATTTTTAAAACAGTACTGTGTACAGTAAAGAGAAAACAAAACACAGGATTATACAAGTGTTTCCCCAATTGTCATGCAGGGTCAGAATACTGAAAATATTTAAAAAGCATTTTCAATTAGTGTAACTTGAATCCCATTTCCAATCACAGATCAGTCAAATCTCAGGGGCAGAAATGGAACTGAATTATTGGAATGTATATATTATACACAAATGAGGTTCTGAATTTATCATGGACCCAATATGATGAAGCCCTACACCTCACAAATGGACACACAGAAAGAAGAGAGAACATTTCATGTAGATTTTCTGTTCCTCTGAGAATTTCACTTTACTCTGTGAGATATGAGAATCATTCACACAAAGCTCATACATTTGCACAATAATCTGCCAAGAAACTCTGAGGAGGAGCAAGGGAGACTGCAGGCAAACTGTTCTCACCCACAGACACCAGACTGCTCTAATTCTGTAACATCCAGTCTCTGTACAAAGCCCTCAGGGCAGGATTCAGGCATTGCCCCTCCTCCTGGGAGAAGTCCACAGTCACACCACTGGCTGTCAATAGACCACAATCGAAAAAGACAATGGTTTGAACAGTTGTGTTGATGCAAACCTCCAGAGACAGAGGTGGGTGGAGCTCTGTTAGTTTCAGTCCAACTGGTCTACATTGTGAGTTCTCGACCAGACAGAGGCACACTGTGAGATCACATCTCAGATGAAGGAAGCACAAGAACCAGAAAATAACAATTGGGTCATATGTTCATGCACAGAGTACTTTTCTTGAACCAAGAAGACAAAAGACTATTGCAAACATTTTTCTGATATAGATGAGTGGTTGTAATTATTCAAAAGATACATTCTAACAATATCCTATACTAAAACGCCTTTTTTTTTTTTCTTTTTTGGTTTTTTCAAGACAGCGGTTCTTTGTGTGGCCCTTGCTGTCCTGAAACTTGCTCAGTAGGCCAGGCTGGCATTGAACTCAGTGATCCACCTGGCTGTGCCTCCCTAGTGCTGGGATGAAGGGCATGTGACACCACCACCTGGCTTATAATGTCTTTTCTAACTGTGAAAATAGTGTGACCTGATACCCTTAAACAGCATAACGTAATTTCCAAACTCCAGGTGCAACATTCAGAACTTGGGCACAAGAAGATACATTTTGGTTTCTGTTTGTTTGTTTATGAGACAGGGTCTCATAATATAGCTATGGATGTCCTGGAACTAACTATGTAAACCAGGCTGGTCTCAAAGTTACATCTGCCTGCCTCTGCCTGAGTTCTGGTATTCAAAGCCTGTGCCACCAAGCCTGAAAAGGACACTTTTCAGAATGCTGTATCTACATTAGAGAGTGCATATGTCTAAGATGAAAAATTAGTGATGGATAAAATGTTTACTTTTAAATGTTAATGTTTACAACCATACCTGCGGAGCTCGCAAAATAATATTTTTCTCAGAATCAATCAAATCTGCACGCATTCCTTTCATGATTAATATCTAAAAGCTCTCCAGGGATGCCAATTCCCCAGGTCCAGATGCCATTCTTTTGAATGGGTGAGTGGTTTAACACGGAAGTTAGAGTGTTGAATGTGAATTTCAAGAGCTCTTTTCTATCCATCATAGCAAAGAGAAACACGTTTGCAAATAACAAATAAATTCAAATATTCTACTAGAGAATTCTTATAAGAATATTTTGCTCCAAAAATAGAGAGGGGAAAAAAAGACTATTTTGGCAACCAGAAAAATCAATGAAAAAGAATTTGGATTAGTCCAGTTCATATGATCTAAAATTTACCGACAAGGGAAAGACATTTACAGCAGAATTTCGAAGCCGGCTTCCTTATGAACAGCAGAGAAACTGCTCGCACCCCCGGTCCCTTCCCTCCCGTGTCCCAGACCCGCAGCTCCTCTGACCTGGGAGGTTCCAGGGCCGCCGGGCTGCGGTTCCCGCCACTGCGCTGCTGACTGGTGACTTTCCCAGGCCGCCCCGCGCGGCGACTGCGGATCCGGGGAGGTTTTGTGTCCCCGCGACACCCCGCCGTGTCCTCCGCTCCCAGGTCTGCACCACCAGATTCCTCACCGTGCAGGACCTGGTGCAATGACAGAGAACAGGAACTTGTTTTGGTTCCTCAGCCCAACTAACCCGGCCTTAGTAACGCGACCTACGGGTTTCCGTTACGTCACTCTGTTAACCCCTCCCACTCACGTACTTCCTCTACACCTTTCCAATGGCCAACAATCTCCTCCAAATGATGTTTCCGGTTGTGTGTCCCCGCCTCTGTGAGCCCGGTCTCTCCCACTCTGTCTCAGGCTGCCTTCCACACAGCTCCAGCTGTCAGGCTGCCCTGGACCCGCTCTGCACAGCCTCCCCACATGCTCGCTGCCAGCCTAGACCAGAACTGGATCTAGTTGGATGATGCACCCGTGTATCTGACCATCTTATCCTGAGTTTTGACCACTTCGGTTTGAAATTGTTCAGTCTAACGCCTCATTTTGGGATTCCAGTGTCCTGTCCTATAAACTCAGAAAGAGACAACAATCCCCTTAAATCCTGATGCTAGCTCACATACCCCAAACACTAACATGAAATATTGCTGCCCCAAATCACCATTTCCCTGCCTGTGTCCCCTAGGGAGAACAAAATAGATTAAATATAAGAAACAGAACACACACACACACACACACACACACACACACACACACACACCTAGGTTTTTTTTTTTTTTTTTTTTTTTTTGGTTTTTCGAAACAGGGTTTCTCTGTGTAGCTTTGCGCCTTTCCTGGAACTCACTTGGTAGCCCAGGCTGGCCTCGAACTCACAGAGATCCGCCTGGCTCTGCCTCCCGAGTGCTGGGATTAAAGGCGTGCGCCACCACCGCCTGGCCACACCTAGGTTTTATATCCTGTTAGGCACACCCTCCTCTACAGACAAATCCCTCACACATAACTAGGTGTCAAGACCAGCCGGGCATTCCCTACCTGCATTACATAAAGAGTGTCGTACACACTTTAGTTCTCTGATTCTGCTAGGTATGCTTTTCCTATAGTGAAAGCCCAGCATATACATACAAGTCTACATATCGGGTCCTGGGACATAACCCTTCCCCTACAACCAAAGCCCACATATAATACCCAATTATGTGATACATCCTGCTACATATACCCTCCCCTACAACCATATCCCCATATTCACACAAGGCAAGTGTCTGGTTCTTCTATTTATCTCTTCTCTTCAAACCAAATCTCCAAATGCACATATACGGTTAGTTGTCAGGTCCTGCATGGTATCCCCTTCCCTACAGCCAAAGACCTACTATCACATGATAGGCTAGGTGTTGAGTCCTACTGTGCATCCCCTTGCCTACAAATACAGCCTATCACACAGCTATGTTTCAGGTCTTACTTGGTACAAACTTCCCTACAACACAATCTACACATACATGCTCTCACACACATACATACACACAAGCATGCATGCATGGAAAGTGTCAGAACCTGCAAGATACCTCTCCCCATGCCAGTACAGTTACACACACACACACACACATACACACACACACGCACACACACACACACACACACACACACAGGGACAGGTGTCCAGTTATATTACATATCCCCTCCCTTATAGCTGAAGCCCCACACTCAGGTCTATGTTTCAGATCCTGCTAGGCATCCTCTTCCTTAAACAGACCATACACACAGGACTAGGTATCAGGTCCTGATAGGTACCTCCTCCAATTCAAAGGCTCAATACACAAACATAGATCAGTACTGCTAGGTACCCCCACCCCAGTGACAAAATACTCAGTACACACACACACACACACACACACACACACACACACACACACACGTGTGGGTGCACAAGTCTAAGCCCTACAACTAAACCATCACGAATACATGCATGGCTATGTGTCTGGCTCTTCATGTTAATTCCTCCCTGCAGGCAAAACTCCCTGAAATGGGGTTATTTGTGTGGTCTGCTAGTTGCAAACTCACCCCAACTCCTAATCCCCCAACACACAGCTAGATGTCAATTCCTACATGGTATCCTCCTCTATAACCAAAGTCCCACACAGGAATCTAGATGCAGTTCCTTCTAGATGTCCTCTCCTGTCACCAAAGCCTCTCATACTCATACACAGCTGTGTCTGGATCTACCATGTATTTCCTCCCACTCATCCAAATCCCCACAAACACATAAAGAGTTAGGTTTCAGCTCTTGCTAAATACTCTCTCACCTACTACGAGAGTCCCACTTACACATACAGATCAAGATATCCAGTCATGCTAGGTACCTCCTCCTTGCTTATCTGTTCCTCCATGTTTTATACTCACATTCAAAGAACGTGAGTTAAAAACAGAAGATGTGAAGAACTTGCAGCATTTGCATTTTTGGATCTGGGCTCATTCATTCAATATAATCTTTTCCTAATCCATCCATTTACCTTTGGATGGATCACTAACAAAGAGGGTTAATATACTGAGCATCTGAAACTAGGTTTGTGATTTTGCAGTTGGTGACCAGTTACAGGGCCCGTTTTATTGATTAATGATGTGGAGATCGCAGCCCATTGTGTTTGACTCCACCCCCTCAAGTTGTTCCTGAGTCCTGTAAGTAAACTGAGCAAGCCGAAAATAGCAAGCTAGTAGCCAGATTTGCTCCATGTTTTCTGCCTCAGTTCCTGCCCCAACTTACCTAAATGACAGACTTTGATTGGGACATGTAAGCCAAATAATCTTTCTTCCCATATTGATTTTTGACATGATGTCTATCAGCAATAGAATATATACTAGGGCAATATCCCAAAACTGGCCTCAATCTTACAATCTTACTGCGTCCACCTCCTGAGTGTGGGGATAGAGGTATGTACTACAACACTAAATAGATAAATAGAAGTTTAAAGATGAGATAGATGTCATGGAGAAAAATTAGTCAATGTCTAGGCAAATAGAATTCCAGGTTCAGGATATTATTAATGAAGTTGTTCAGAGAAAGTATCTTAAAGAAAATGGGCTTGAGACATTTTAGAGAATCAGAGTAGAAAACAAGAAATATGGCACTTGAAGAATACAGACCCAGGAGAGGAATTTGACTTTATTTTTACTGTATTGAGAAGCCAAGTTTTCTATTTGCCAACAAGACAAAGATCCACACTACATGTAGCTAGATGTCAGGTACTGTTACATAACCCCTCGTCCACAAGTATACACACACACACACACACACACACACACACACACACACACACACACTAGTGCAGCTAGGTGGCAGGTCCTGTTAGATTTCCAATTTCCTTAGAGTCAAAGCCTTCCAAACACCAAACAGTGTCAGCTTCTGTTAGGTCCTCCCTTCCCTACAGCCAATATTTCTCTTACACAGATAGGTATCATGTCCTCCTAGAGATCCACTGACATACAGTAAAGTCCCACACCCAGGGCTGAGTGTCATTTCCTGCTAGGAACTCCCTCACCTGTAGGCAAACACCCCCAACACAGCTTCTTTATTCATACAAGTGTCAGGTTCTGGTATTTATCTCTACCATTTCAACTAAAGTTCCATATACACAAACATGGTTAGGTTTTAGGAACTGCTTTGCACCACATCCCATACAGCAAAACACCAGATCCACACATATAAACATACAAACACACAAATGCATGCACACACATGCACATATGCAACGATTATGCAAGTAGGCCCCTAAGAACCCTCACCAGGCTGTGAGGTCCCACTAGTTTTCCCCTAGCTTTTGGATAGATAGAGCTTTGGATTTAGGGGAAGGGTACCTCGTAGGACCTGGTACCTACCTCTGGGTGTGTGGCATTGCTTTAGAAGAGAGGATTCCGATATTACCCACAATTCCCTTTTCTTTCTCTCTCCTCCAGCCGAGCAAGATGCCCAAGGGAAAGAAGGCCAAGGGGAAGAAGGTGGCCCCGGCCCCCGCCGTCGTGAAGAAACAGGAGGCCAAAAAGGTGGTGAATCCTTTGTTTGAGAAAAGGCCTAAGAACTTCGGCATTGGGCAGGACATCCAGCCCAAAAGAGACCTCACACGCTTCGTCAAATGGCCCCGCTTCATTCGGCTGCAGCGGCAAAGAGCCATCCTCTACAAGCGGCTCAAAGTCCCTCCTGCCATTAACCAGTTCACACAGGCCCTGGACCGGCAAACAGCTACCCAGCTGCTCAAGCTTGCTCACAAGTACAGGCCAGAGACAAAGCAGGAGAAGAAGCAAAGGCTGCTGGCCTGTGCTGAGAAGAAAGCCGCTGGCAAAGGGGACGTCCCAACTAAGAGACCACCTGTCCTCCGAGCGGGGGTCAATACAGTCACCACCTTGGTGGAGAACAAGAAGGCTCAGCTGGTGGTGATTGCCCACGATGTAGACCCCATTGAGCTGGTGGTCTTCCTGCCTGCCCTGTGTCGAAAGATGGGGGTCCCCTACTGCATCATCAAGGGAAAGGCCAGGCTGGGGCGGCTGGTCCACAGGAAGACATGCACCACTGTTGCCTTCACACAGGTTAACTCGGAAGACAAGGGTGCTCTGGCTAAGCTGGTGGAAGCTATTAGGACCAATTACAACGACAAATATGATGAGATCCACCGCCACTGGGGAGGCAACGTCCTGGGTCCTAAATCTGTGGCTCGGATTGCCAAGCTGGAAAAGGCAAAGGCCAAAGAACTCGTCACTAAATTGGGTTAAATGTACACTGCTAAGTTTTCTGTACATAAATATAATTACAAACTTAAAAAAAAAAAAGAAGAGAGGATTCCTAGCAGGACCTGACAAGTAGTCATGTTTGTGTATATGGCCTTGGCTGTAAGGGTGGGACTACATTGCTACCCCTGACACCTAGCCCTGTGTGGAGAGCTAAGGGTGTAAAAGAGTAAGAAGTCCATCAGGACCTG